TCAATTTTATGTATTGAAGTTATAGAATTTCGTCTCTTTGATATATTTAACATTGTAATTCTGTCAGTCGAGAGTGAGTATTAAAGGAGAATCCAATTTTTTATATATCATGTGGGTGCATAGTTTCCGTGATAGTTGCTGGTATTGACAAGACCTGTTGCACGCGTACTATAGATGCTTTTTAAATTGCAAATGTTGAAAATCTTATGTTAGTGTCGCCCATATCTAAAGATATTACCAGATTTGCGAAATATTTCTACTTCGTCGAAAAATTCTAACTATTGTAAAATGCTCTGTTTCCAATACATTGTGGTGCACATATTTTTCAAAATAGTGGATATAATTATCTTACAGTTTCTCTACCGATTTGGAAAGTAGATGGAAGTGATCGGAAACGCATTGACATAGAAGGTGCGTGGAATGAAATCACAAAAAGACAAAATCCTTAGAAATCCGGATGGATTTTAGATAAAAACCAGCTTTATGTGAATTTTTTTTTTTTGTTTTTCGATTTCATCTATTGAACTTATACAATTTCGTCTCGTTTACATATGTAGTGTTGAAATTCAAAAATTCTTCTCTCTAACACTTGAAGGTGTTACTAATAATAATAATAATGGAAATCAAGAGGGTGTCGCTGGTGTTTCCATTGCTGTTGTCGGTGGTGGTACAGCAGTTGTTACTGATGTTTCTAATATTGATGAAACATCCGGGGATTGTGATGTCGCTGCTGAAGCAGCTATTGTTGTTACAAATACGGTTGATGTTTCAGGTTTTAATAGGAATTCCATATGTGGCGATGGAATTGCTAACGATGCTGATCCACTACGTGATATTGTTTATTAGCCTCTGTATGAGGATAAATTAGAATTGGACGATTACCACGGCAATGATGACGAAGAAAATGAATATGATGATGAAGATGATGATTATCCACCACCAGCTAATCAAAACAACATTGTACGCTTTTGTCCTGGTGGTTAAGAGAGTTTCTCTTTCGTATTTTTTTTTTCCTCTCATTATGTCACTTTCCTTTATTATCGTTCCATAAATTTTTCGTTTATTACTGTTGTTTTTAATTCAAAGAAAAGTGTCGCCCGGAATATTAATAATTTTTTTTTCTATGCTCAAAACAAAAAAACATTTTTTTTCTCAATTTACACTAACAGTGAAAAGTTCATAGCCGAATATTTGTAATCATATTAGAAAGATCAATTTTTTTTTTCCGTTCTGCTCTCTGTCTAGTACGAGAGAGACGGGAGCGGTCAATATATATATATATATATATATATATATTGGACGATGTTATATATGAATCGATTCTCTTTCTTTCCTGTCGATTCCAAAGAAGCAGACACACAAAAGGACAAGAAAAAAAAAAGATGTCATTGGAAATTTCAAACATAATTTTTAATTAAAAAACCGATTGTTCGATTAATGTGAAAATGAAATAGTGTACAGGAATTATTAAAGAAGCATCAAATTTTATGCTGAATTTTGAAGGGCTCTACTGTGATTTTTTTCGATAGAAAAATTTGTAATTAAAATAGTGAAAGGATGAGCCATCTCTGTTATCTTTGATGGTGATCATTATTCATTTTTTTTTGTTAGTTTACATTTTCAAAAGATAGTAAGAAATTTTGTAATAAGACGTGCTGTCTATGTATTTCTAAGATTGTCTGATAAGTAATATTATAAACAAATACGGTATTGTACATGAATTACTCACGTACATCATTCAATGATTTTTTTTTCAAACAGTACAGCAGCGAAATTTTTCTTTTTTATCTTTCACAATTGTAACTACGAGTTGTGCCATTTTGTACATGTTCATTAAACAATGTAAGTATAACACTTGTAAAATAACTCAATATGCTAGCATTACATTTGTTTTTTTGTATCTAATAGTCATATAATAAAATCACATCAATGCAATGCGCACTGAAGTAAGTTTTTTTTTTCTATTCCGGTAATCGTTGTGTGCGTTTCATTTATTTTTTCTAAACTTATAATGTCATAATGATACACAACTTTATTAGTAACGTTAAGAATAAATATGACGAGAAAAAATTTCATTAATGTGGCTACCATTTCTACTAATTATATTTATTGTAATTTTAACTTTTTTTATTTTCAAGTGTTTCGTCGCAGACTTACATATATCAATTCTAACAACCAAAAACAATTCAGTCAACTCCAAATATTATTCAATAAAGTTATTATGCATCTTTTCTTTCAAACTGGCTCAAACAATAACTACTTTACGTAAGTAACTTTCATATATAAATGCAGTACTATAATTGTCATTTAATAATTTTTCTAATTTTTTTTTCTTCTACAGGAACAAAAATTATACAGAATAATGGTTTCTTCTCAAGTGATATTTCTTCTTAAATCTCAAACTGCCATATTGTCTACATTCAAATCAGGTATGATTACGTTTAGTTATGGATTTTATCTCAGACTTTTATCCATCGAATAAAAAATGAGTATTTCATATTATATGATTTACAATACATTTAGGGAAATAACAAAAAATTTTACTTCGAGGACACGATGACTAGGACTCCATGTTTGTTTTTCTTTTATCCTTTGTAATCGCTGCGTCGATATTTTAAATTATCAACGTGTTATGAGGAAGTTACAGCCCACAGCGCGGGCGTAGACGTACTTCCAACCGTAGAGCGATTACTTTCTTGTTTCCCATTCCCTCCTAATTGAGGAGAATTTCATATGATTAAAAACATTACATTATTTTCAAATGTGATTTATCTATAGAATAAGATAGTGACGCGCATGGTCACTGTATCTGTCTGAAGTGGCTATCCCACCAGACAGGTAAGGATCAAGGTAGGGCGAACCAGTATTTCTAACTTTTCAGTGAAGGTAAACAAAGATATTAGGCTTTTTGGGAAAAAAATATAGGAAATAGATAATTAATAGACTAAGTTTCTATATTATATGTGTGAACTGTAAAACAAAAAAAATGTAATTGTTGTTTTTTCTTCTTGTTCTTGAATATTTGTTTTTTTCAACTTGTTCGTTTGTTTTGTATGTGTCATATACGCACTGTGAAGCAATTAATACAGTTACTCAATTATTTTTTGTTCAAACTTTGAATATTTTTTATTGTGCATTTCTTGTAAATTCTGTAAATACGTACATGTATCTTTAAATATTGTGTATTCATATGTACTATTCTTATTTATATTTATATACAAATTTATTTTAATAACTTTTTTTGTGTAAGAAAAAATTTGCTTTCACGTTCTATTTTTCCTCTACTAGATGAATAATACTAATCAAACCCATGTTGATAATGAAACGAGTTTGTTTAAAATTCCGAAAACACAGCTAGACAAAAGAAACCATGAAAACAATTATCAACGTGTCACATTGTCACAGACCGAGGTCTTTCGAACCTTTCGGAATCGAACAGTTTTGTTCGTTGGTGATTCTTCAATACGCACCATCTATCGTGATTTTGCCAAACTATTTGAAATTAATCGTTTCTTATCGATTCAGGAAGCGAAAATGCAACACGGCGAATATCAACTGCTACAAGGTAAAAACACCACCTTTCGATTTATCATCTTTCATACTCTGTTTTTTTTTTGTTCAGGTGAAAGACGTTTACAACATGGCGGCTCCTGTGGAACAACCGACTACAAAGATATACGTCAATACTATTGTCAACATTCATCGACAACACTTATATATGTACATATCGCAACACTTCACACATCATCAGCAAAAGAAAATATTAACTTTATTCAAACAATAACAAATTGCAGTTATATACATCTTGTAATATTTTCATCATACCACAGTGATATGAGAATGTAAGTGGCGATCTGTTCGCCTATTATTATTACAGTTTATATGCGTTGGTAACATTTTTTCATAGGTCTAAACTAGAAGCATCCGAAGTACCGTTTCATATACATCCAGACCAATACAAAATTCAACTCGAAGAAGCATGCGACATTCTCATGGAAGAATGTCTAAAAAAAAAAGATCAGGAGCAACTATACATATGGATGGAACCCTATCCTCCTAAACAAACACTGAACTACGAACAGACACAACAATTTGAAACCATTCTCTGTGAAACAAACGGGATAGCAACACAAAAAGGTTATCAAATATTCAACACAAAGCAAATATGGGACAACACCAAAGAACATTTAATTCAACCAGGATCCAATCATTTTTCACCAGCAGGTAATAAAGAAAGACTTTCCAAAGAAAAAAAAATCTAAACTGTTTCTTCCATTAGGTATTCGATTACTCTCTCAACTTCTCGCCGAAATAGTTGATAAAAAATGGCATCAACCAAAGGTCCATCAACGCGTTCTCAACAATAAACTAAAACCACAAAAAAGACTATTATTCGAACAACAAAAAGACTTGTATAATTACATTCTCTATAATAAAAAACAATTGAAATAATAATGGATATACAGAAAGCAAGACTTCGCCAGAAATTTGCCAAAAACCAGAACAAAAAAACAAATTGATACACGCCAATTCCATCATTCAAACTAGACAAAACCCCATAGAAAAAAACAATACTCCTAGTTACGCGAAAGCCAACGAGGCGAGACCTCTCTTCATATTGTCGACACCTGTCGCAGGCTTAACCTAGAATATTTTGAAGTTGTAACTATTGGAAATCTTACGTTCGTATCTATCCTGCACAGATATTCTTCTAGATTTTCAAATTATCATAATTTCACCGGGAAATTCAGAGTATTTTCAAAGTCCACCGTTTGCAATACATTCTTAGCGATATATTTTCAAACAGGAGAGACCATTCGCTTGCATATTGACATTCTATATTGAAATTACTTCCGAATGATCAGAAACATATAGACATAGAAAGATCAAGAGAGAAAATGAGATAAAGTCAAAATCCCAAGGAATCCGGACGGATTTTTAATAGAAAAACGGTTTTCAGAAAAAAATCTTTTTCTTTTCAAATTTTCTATTTTATCGATGCATGTGACAGTACGTGAAAGCATTTACACCTATAAGAGAGCGAATCAACCATTTTAGTCAAAAAAAAGTCTATCTATAGAAATTTATGATAGAAAATGTAAATGCATAGATTAGGGCAAAATTAGTGATATTAGGGAGACCTGTTGCAGGCATACGGAATATGATTTCTACAATCTAATTACTGGTATTCCTATGTTAGAGTGTACTGTACGAGGATATATTGATAGATTTTCGAAATTTTAATATTTCACCGGAAAATGCTGAGTATTTTCAAAGTCCACCGTATGCAATGCTTTCTTAGCAATATGTTTTCAAATAGGAGAGACCATTCGCTTGCACATTGACATTCTGTATTCAAATTAGTTCCAAATGATCAGAAATACGAAGACAGAGAAAGATCAAGAGAAAAAATGAGATAAAGTCAAAATCCCAAGGAATCCGGACGGATTTTTAATAGAAAATGGGTTTTGACAGAAAAATTTTTTTTTTTCAAATTTTCTATTTTATCGATGGATGTAATAGAATGTGAAAGCATTTACACCTATAAGAGAGCGAATCAACCATTCTTGTCAAAAAAAAAAGTCTATCGAATGAAATTTCTGACGGAAGATGTAAATGCATAGATTAGGGCAAAATTAGTGATATTGGGGAGACCTGTTGCAGGCATACGGAATATGATTTCTACAATCTAATTACTGGTATTCCTATGTTAGAGTGTACTGTACGAGGATATATTGATAGATTTTCGAAATTTTAATATTTCACCGGAAAATGCTGAGTATTTTTAAAGTCCAATGTATGCAATGCATTCTTAGCAATATGTTTTCAAATAGGAGAGACCATTCGCTTGCACATTGACATTCTGTATTCAAATTAGTTCCAAATGATCAGAAATAACAAGACAGAGAAAGATCAAGAGAAAAAATGAGATAAAGTCAAAATCCCAAGGAATCCGGACGGATTTTTAATAGAAAATCGGTTTT